TGAACTATCCTTTCAATTTATTCATTGGCACTACACTATTATATTTACCCTATTTAGGGAATAGTTGTCAAAATAGCAGCTCATATTTCTTTTTATTGTTAAGTTCCAGCTATTTTACTTACACAGGAAATTGAAAGTTGTAGAGGAAGCTCTTTGTCCCTGAAGGAACAGATAGAACAGAAATAGGACTTCTGTTCAGGAGCGTTTCCATTCTGCTCATTATTATGGCACTGTTTTGTTGCTTTCCTTCTTTTTACAACACCAGTGTTACCGACATAAATTATAAACTCATCTCCAAGGATGCTGTCAGAGAGTTTAATTTACTTGAAATAATTATTTTCTATGTATAAATATGTTATCAATTTGATAGTGTTCATTAGTTTATGTTCAGTTTTAATGTTTGCTTTTTTCCATTTCTTTTCAATTAAATGTTATATTTTGAACATATGAAATGTTTATATAGCTCAAAATTCAAAGCTATTAAAGAAGAGAAAGAAATGTTGCCATCCACATTCTCTTTACCACACTCTTGTCTCCCCACCCTCCCACCATCCCAGTACCACTTTCATTAGCTTCTATATTTCTATTTGCAAGAATAAGCACGTATGTATATGTGTGAATACACACCTATATATTTTCTTATTTCCCCTTCTTTGACATGAAAAGTAGTGTACTGTATACACTGATTGGCATCTTGCTTTCTTCAGTAGTTATTTTATCTTTGAGTTTCTTCATCTGCAAGATGGGAAGAACACAGTGTGTGAAGACTAAATAGAAGGAGGCATATGAGTCACCTACCACAGGGTCAGGTGCAGTGGAACCTATCTCACACTGTCCCTACAGCCCACTCCTATTGTTCCACATGACAGTGTGATGGCTACAAACACTCTCATTACTTCCCGTTGGCACTGTAGATTGAAGCGTCTTTGGGGGAGTCAGGTGCACACAGCAGATCTTCCAGTGTGAATGGTTTGTAGCTTTCTACTTACATCTACAACTGAAGCACTGCACCTTCTCAGACTTTGAGGTAAACCCTCAGAACCAAAGGTTGGCTCCTGACAACCCTTCTGGTGGTGCCTAGCAATCTACCATAGGTAGCCATGAACCCATCCAACCTACTACAGGGGACAAACAGATGCATGGCTTGTCTGCAGTGCAAAGACTTTTTTATTTGCCCACATAGTTACCACTTCCACAGTCTTCCTTAGTTTGTGTAGATGCACATGTCCATCTGGTGTCACTTTCCTTTTGCATGAAGAACTTTCTTTAAACTTTCTTGTGATACAGGCCTACTGAGAAGAAAGTCTCTTACCTTTTGTGTGTCACTTTTGGGGGACATTTCAGGCTGAAGTTACAGATAGAATATTCCTTAAGGAAAAGGTTTTATATTCTTTAGTAAGCAGAGAAGTATCATAGAAGAATGGGATTCAAATCCACTTAACAGTTACATGATCTTGAGGATGTAACTTCTCTGAGTTTCATTTTCCTCATCTATGCAAGATGTGGTTAACAATATCTACCTTCAAGAGTTTTCATGAGGTTTAGAGACTATATATATACATATGTAGTCCCTCACTGTAGGCTGGCATTAGAGAAGATTCAATAAACAGGGACTAAAATGACGATATTCATTTTTTATTAATAAAGAATATGGAGCTAACTATTTGAAGATGTTTAGACTATTCAGAGGAATTACTTTGATTTGCTAAAATTTTGTTAAGATTTTCATAACTATGTGCATGAGGCTTTAGAGTCTGTAGTTTCTTTTCTTGTAATGTCTTTTTCTGATTTTGATGTCAGGGTATAATGCTGGCCTCATAGAGTGAGCTGGAAATATTCCTCCTCTTCAATGTTCTGGGACTGTTTTAAAATTTGGTATTATTTCTTCCCCAAATGTTTTGTATAATAACCAGTAGAACCATCTGGGCCCTTAGATGTGTATGTGTGTGTGTGTGTGTGTGTGTGTGTGTGTGAGTGTGTGTGTGGTGTACTTTGAAGACATTTCTCCACCATTTTCTCATTTGCATTGTTTCAGATAAGAAATGTGCTACCATCTTCATCTTTATTCCTCTGTAGATACAGTTTCTTTTTTCTCTGTTTTAAGATTTTCTCTTTATCACTGGTTTTAAGCAATTTGATTATAACGTACCTTTGTTTTCTTCATGTTTCTTGTACTTGGGGTTCATTGAGCTTTTCGAATTTAGGGTGTGCATGTAAGGTTTTCAATAATTTGTTTGGGGGGACATTATTTCTTCAAATATTTTTTCTGCCCTCTCCTCCTATGGAGGGTCCATTTACACATATATTAGGCCACTTAAACCTGTTCCAGAGCTCACAGATTCTCTGTTACTGTTTATTAGTCTTTTTTTTTTTTTTATTTTGTATAGTTTCTATTGCTTTGTCTTCATGGTCATTGAACTTTTTTTCTGCAGCATCTAATCCATTCTATCTTCTTCAGTATTAATACCATCTAGTGTATTTTTCTTCTCAGACATGGTAGTTTTCATCTCTTCAATTCTGATATATATTTAAACATGTTAAGTAGATACATAGATTAATCTATATGTATACTTATATATGTAGATTTTACATGTATAATCTTTATATATCTTCTTGAATGCATGAAAACCATTATAATAACTGTCTTTACTGGCTACTTATAACATCCATGTCATTTTTGGGTCAGTTTCTATTGACTTTTTCCTCATTATGGTTCATATTTTCCTGCTCTTTTGCATGCCAGGTACTTTTTTTTTTTTTTACTGGATACAAGTATTGTAAATTTTACCTTGATGGGTGCTGGGCAATTTTGTATTTCTATTCCTATTAATATTCTTGAGTTTTGTTCTGAAATTCAGCTAAGTTACTTGGGACTAGTTTGACTCTTCCAGATCTTACTTTTAAGCTTTAATAGGAGGAACCAGAGTGGTGTTTAGTTTAGGGCTAATTTTTCCCCACTGCTGAGTCAAAACCAACACCCACTACATTATGATGCCCCTGCTCAGTATGAGCTCCAGGAGTTGTTCCCTCAAATCCTTTCAGGGGCTTCTTTCCTCAGCTGTGGGTTGTTTTCTTTCACACACATGCTGATCTGTCCTCAGATGAGTATTTGAAGGGATCCTCTGCACATCTCCAGAGTCTTCTCTCCCTGTAACTCTATCTTCTCTGATGCTCTGCTCTGCAAACTCCAGCCACCTTGGCCTCTCAGACTTCCAGCTCCTCAACAAGGGGAGACTGCAGGGTCCCACCTGGGTGCCTCCTATCTGCATTGATGCCTGGAAATTCACTTCTGGAAGTATGCTGGGGGATTGTAGGTTTCATCTCATTCATTTCCTATCTCTCAAGGATCACTATCCTTTGTTGCCTATGTCCAATGTCTTGAATTGACATTCATATTGAATGTGGGTGTAAAAGAAAGTTCATATTGTTCATTGGAGGAATACTGAACTGTTTTTACACCATGGACCCTCTGGCCATCTTGCAAAACCTATGGCAGCTTCTCAGAATAATGTTTCCAAATACACAAAGTAAAACACAGGGCTACAAAGAAAATAGTTATAGTGTTTATAGTGATTAACATATTTTTCTAACTGATTTTGTTCTATAGTAATAGATGTACTTCTTTTTTTTTTTTTTTCTTTTTTTGCGGTACACAGGCCTCTCACTGCCGTGGCCTCTCCCGTCGCGGAGCGCAAGCTCCGGACGCGCAGGCCCAGCGGCCATGGCTCACAGGCCCAGCCGTTCCGCGGCATGTGGGAGCCCCCCGGACCAGGGCACGAACCTGCGTCCCCTGCACCAGCAGGCGGACCCTCAACCACTGTGCCACCAGGGAAGCCCGTACTTCTTAATTAATGCATTAAATAACAAGATCTAGAGGCGGGTCTAATAAGTTCTGCAATTTTCAAGCAGTAACGAGCATAAAAAATATTCTGAGACGTGTGCAACAGTTGTAATGTGATTTGAATATTTCCATACTTTCTCTTAGGGACAATGTCAAGGCATTGTTAATATAGCTGTGGTTTGTTGCCAACATGCATTTGGAAGGAAATACTAAATTTCAGTCTGAGGCTAGTGAAAATGAACATTGTTCTCTCGTCTAAGTTGAAGGACCCCTGAATTCTATCCATAGACCCCTTAGGATCTACAGTTTCAGAGTAAGAACCTTGTTTTAATAAATGGAAACCAGAGGGGCTGGAAGTTGTGGATTATACACAATGGGCTGACCTTATGAAATGGCAATGATTTTATTTGAATCTATGGTGATGATGGTGAGATGCCATGGGGATAGTTTTGGGGCAGAGCAGGGGAATATGTTGCTCACAAGACAACTGAGAGTGTCCTTCATGCCAAAATGAGTCTTCTCTCAATGGTTCCCAGACCAGGGGATTTTGCCCCGAATGCTGAGGAGCCCACCTGTCAAATGACTTCTTGCCAACTCCCATCCTCAGTCTCAAGTCTTCATCCCTCATAACCAACAAATTGGGCAGGTCTGCTGTTTATTTTTGCTTCTGGTCCTTTGGCCAGGCCACAAACTCCCGGATTTGTGAATACACAGTTCTGTTCCTATCCAGTGTGTCCCAACCAGAGAGTCACTGTAATTTTTGGTTTTGTTCCCATACTGCCTCCAAACATCATTAGTCATATCCTCCTTCCCATTTCTGCCTTGAATAGGCAGTCATTATGATGAAGCCAGGCTTGTTTCAGAATTCCATGAGAACCACAGTGTCAGGCCGTCACAACTCTGGAGCTGGAAATGGAAAAGGCCGTGATCTGGGGCTGGCTGGCACAGTCCTTGTGAGTCATTATGGAAACACTGTCCCCAGATGCTGCTGAGAGGGACTGAGTTACTGGTGAGTCCATCTGTCAGATGAGATCCTGACCCCCTGACACCTTAAAAAGTTTCATAATATGTGGGATGTTGGGCCTTCTGTCTGGTATCCTGGTTACATTAAAATTGGGGTTGTTTTATTCTATTTTTGGTTCTCTTGCAGTTTTCAATGTGCCAAAAACCAAAATATATTTATTTCAGATTACAAAAATAATTCATATTCATTGTACAGAAGTTGCAAAAGGCAGAAAAACATTCAGAAGAAAATTCTATCACCCAGATCTATAGATTTGATTTTTTTTAATGTGTTGCATTTCCTTTAGATAGCTAGTGTATATAGTGTTTTTGTAAGCTGTGGGTTTTTTTTAAACTATAACAGTATAACTTACACAGTCCCCATTTTTTAAAGTATAAAATTAAATTATTTTTACCCTAAAGGAGACCTTATATAAGATATCTAGTCCAACACACTCTTTTTAAAAATGAGAAAACTGAGATCCCAAGAGCGTAAGTGATTCATTTGCCCAAGGCTCCCCAGCTCATGAGCCACAGACTCGAGAATGGAGCCCTGTATTTTTGTCTTGGTATCCTACTGCCTCATGACCTCCCCATGTCCATACTCATCTGTGCGTGCTCATCTTCAGACAAGAGCTGAAAGGGCTCTGGCCTCTCTGTCCCTTGAACAGGAGGAAATGTATATGAGTTCCTGAATTACTAAATAGGAAATTTGTCCCTGCCTTAGATCTTGAGTTAGGGAACTACCTACCTCCTTTCAATCTATTCCCTGTAGGAAAGTTTAAAATCTGAGGGGCAAAAAAGCTCTTTCCCATGCAAAATTATTTTGGGTTATCATTTGGAAATTAAAAATAAGAATAGTCATTACCAGCAACTTAACAAATATACCTGTCTTTAAACTCAATAATAGTTATTTAATAACACTTATGAAACTTTATAGTATGTATATTTTCCAGAATTGCAAATTCACCCCCTAGAAAGTAAGGAGGCTGCATAGTATAGTATGCTATAGTATAGTGTGATGTGGGGTATAATATAGTTAGTATTGTGCAGAGTAGAATAAAATGATTGTGGACTTCAGAGTGAGTTGATCTTGGATTCAAATTCTGTTTCTGCACCTTCCTGGTTTGCAATCTTGGGCACTGAAACTCCTTGAGTTTTATTTCATCATCTGTAAAATAAATATAATAATAGCAGTTATCCTAAGATCTATATCTATATGCAATAAACAAAATAATGCATTACCATTTTCTTTATAGTAGAAAATGGAAAAAAAGAGGTGAGAGATGAATTTCAGAATTGGTGAAGATAATAACAAAAAATGTAAGCCTGCCTAAATTGAAGTAGAGCCCTACCTAAAAATAAAGAAAACAAAAGATGAATAGGAATGACTTGAATGTAAAAGGTAAGCATAACATAAAATAATGACAGAACTGAGATCAAACATGTTTGGCATGTCAATCAATGTAGAGTAGCTTAGGTTGCCCATATAAGAAATTTTCAGATTGAATTACAAAACCAAACCCAACTCTATGCTATACACAGAAAGGTTGAAAAGTAAAAGTAAAAGCAGGACTTTTGCTTCTGGTCCATGATGGAGTAGCAAGAACAGATTTAATCTCCCACCACAAACAGCTAGAAAACAACAAAATATTTTAAACAACTGCTTTCAGACATTGGACAACAGGCAGCATGGGAGGACTGTGATCCCTCAGAGAAGGGAAATAAATGAGGTGAGCTATACAATTGCCCCATTCTCTGCCTGGAGACAATTTCTGGACCACTGGTGCAGTGGAAAGACACAGGCAGAGCCAGGCAGCCTTGCTGAGTGGAGGAGATGGAGTTTACAGTTCAAGGACACTGTTGGGAAAACAGCCACTCATACATTTCCAGTCGGGGTGTAAATTGGTAAAAATCTTTAGTGAGGCCAATTTGGCAATATCTAACAAACCTACTTTTTGAGTTGACAATCTCATGTTTGGAAATTTATCTTATAGATATAGTTGCCCAGGTGCAAAATGACACAGGTACAGGGTTGCAGCAGCATCGTAGCATTGCTGGTAATATTGGAAAATACAAATATCCATTAATAGGGAGCTGGCTAAACAAAGTATAATACATCCATACAATGGAATACTATGTATCAACAAGAAAAATGCCAAACTTGTTTCTGAATACATACAAAAATTCTAAATAAAATATTAGCACATCAAATCCATTAATGAATTAATAATGATACATTACCCCCAACTAAGGGTAGGATTTGTCCTAATTAGGGAGTAAAAAAAGATCCTCTTGAGAAGCACAGAAAAAGCAGTTGACAAAATTTAATGTTTATTTCTGCCAAAACTGCTTAGCAAACTAAAACAGAAGGAAATTTTCATTACCTCGATTAAAGGTATGTGGTAGTTATTAGTACTGTTCACCAATATTTCTGGATTTCCTCCTTTCAAGCACAATACATGGTACGAGAAAGATTGGCAATCCATTGTGAAAAATTGAATTGAGCTCCTATTTTGCACTATAAAATTAATTTTAGATAAATTAAAGAACAACACAAATAAATAATTAGAAGAAAATATGTAGAAAATGTTTATAACTTCCAAAGGTTTTCTTAAACAAGATCCATATAAAAATTATAAATAATTTGGCCACATAAAAATGTATTCTTTCTGTACCACAAAAGAAAGTGTTCAAAAATAAAAAATATAAGAGTGGCCTGAGGGAAAATATTTCAACACAAATACAGAAAAAGTATTACTGTCTAAACTAACACTGTCCAATAGAACTTTCTGCAATGAGGGAACTGTTCATGCTCTGTGTTACCCAAAAGGACAGCCACTGGCCACATGTAGCTATTGCACACTTGAGATGTGACCAGTTTGAGGAACTGAAGCCTTAGTTTTACTTAATTAAATTACTTTCAATTTAAATAGACAAATATGGCCAGTGGTGACTAATATTGGACAATGCAGATTTAAAAAATAGAAAAAACTCTTACAGAGAGAAATAAAAACAGATAATAGACATATTATCTAGTAGCTAGTAGACATACTAGCTTAGAATATGAACACACAAAGCATAGAAGAAGAAATACAAATGGCCAATAAACAGGTAAAAACTACTCAATCTGTCTCAAAAATACACAAATTTAAATGCAACAAGATACGCTTTGGGGGTAAAATTTTAGAATTTGTTAATATCCAGGGTTGGTGAAGGTGAGGGGAAATGGTTACTCTTTTCCACTGTTGGTAGGACTGTATACTGACGCAGACTTTTTGTGAGCAATTTAGCAGTACCTATCAAAATTTTACAATGTGCATAACCTTAATCTAGCAATTACTAACATTTTTACGGAACTCAATAAAATAGTTCTAAAATTCACCTAGAATAGAAAGTCCATGTGAATAAACAAGAAACTTCTTGAAAAGGGAAAAGCAATGTAGGAGGAAGCCCTTGCCCCACCAGATATTTCTTTCCTAGAAAAATGCTAAGTATGAACACTTAGATTAGGTATTCATTTTTAAAAAACAGACAAATTTTAGCTTTGATGATATTACAGTGCAACTTGAACTCTCACACACTACTGGAGAGAGTACAAATTGGTACAACCACTTTGGAAAACCATTTGAAGTGTCTTCAAAAGCTGAACATTTAGGGGTCTACTCAACAGAAATGCATATATATTTACACCAAAAGACATACACAAGAGTGTTCAGCACAGCAAGTCATAGAGCCTCAAATGGAAACTCCACACAGGTCCATCAGTAATATCACGAGTTGATAAATTACAGCATATTCATACAATGAAAAATTCTGCAGCAATGAAAATGAATGAACTACTGGTACAGGCAATTGCAGAATAAATCTCACTAAATAAATGTTCAGTAAAACAAACAAGACATAAGAATGCACTCCAAGTGATTCCGTTTACTTAAGTGTCACAAACAAGCAAAATAATCAATGGGTATATACATATGTATATATATATAGACACACACATACAATGGAATATTACTCAGCCATGAAAAGAATGAAATATTGCCATTTGCAGCAACATGGATAGACCTAGACAATATCGTATTAGATGAGGTCAGTCAACAGAGAAAGACAAATATATGATATCGCTTATATGTGGAATCTAAAAAATAATACAAATGAACCTATTTGCAAAACAGAAATAGACTTACAGGTATAGAAAACAAACTTATGGTTACCAAAGGAGGAAGGTGGGGTAGCGATTAATTAGGAGTTTGGGAAGATTATGGGATTAACAGATACAAACTACTATATATAAAATAGTTAAGCGAGAAGGATTTACTGTATAACGCAGGGAACAATACCTTGTAATAACCTATAATGCAAAATACTCTGAAATATATATATATATATATAAAAGAATCCCTTTGCTGTATACCTGAAGTAACACAATATTGTAAATCAACTATACTTCAATTAAAAAAAAAAAGATATTGTTTACCTTTAAGGGAATGGAGCATGACTGGGAGGCAGCCATCCCAACAGGTCTGTCCCTTTACAGTGTCTGGTCCCTTGTTTCTTCCAGTAGTGGGGCCAGCTTTCCACAGGTCCGTCTCCCACCAGGATGCTACATCAGAGGTAGAAGTTTATTTCTCCCTGGCTGACTTACTCCTGAGACCCATGCACTGAGAAATAGAAGTCTGATCTTTTCTGGCTTGATGCTTCCCTGCTTAATTTCATTTAGTGAGTCCAAGTTGGGAACCCCAGCAATAAAACCATTATTTCGTCAAGTGATCACAACCCTGGATGGAGGTTTGTGCTGGTGTCTGACTAAATGAGTTAATGAGTAACGTGTTTACAACTGTGCCTGGCACATACTAAGCCCATATGTAGGTTTTGCTCTAATTATTATTATGCCTTCCATATCCAAACGTGACATTTATCTCCCTTTTCTCATCTGTAAGAAAAATAATCATATGCAGAACTTTAAGAAATCCCAATACACACCTAAGTTTTATAAAGTTTATTTCCTTTCTACATCCCATCTTTAAAAAATGTTCATTCTGATTATAAACATTTCAAAGGTACAAAAAAGTACAGAAAATAATATTACATACATCCACGGAGCCTCCACCACCTAGGTTTAACAGATGTTGGTATTTGGCTATATTTGCTTCAGATCTTTGTGGGTGTTTCTTTTAAAAATAAACAGGAAGAGCTAAGAGTCCCTCCCCTCAATTACTCTTTCCTTCCCTTTTCCTTCAAACCTCAGAGGGTTTTACTCTCCTGAAGTTAGCAGATGCCATCCCCACTTTGAATATAAATGCATTTATTAAACAATATAGAGTCCCAATTTAATATTTAAACTATTCATTGAAAGTTGAAATAATACACAGTCCTGATGATGAGCTTTCTCAAAATGTCTTTAATGAGCAAAGAAAAGGAAATCTTGAAACAAGAAAATGTCCATTGATAGGAGATTTGGTGAGATCAAGGGGCACTGTTTACATTCAGGATAGTTTCTGCCTTGCACAGAAACTGCCTTCTGTATAAATAATTACTGGGACCACAGCCCATCTAAGTTGGTCTCAGAATTTTAAGTACTAGCATCATCGACCACAGTGGCCCACAACACATGCTTCACAGAATGTCCAGCAGCTGAATCAAGGTATCAGCTTCTGGGTTATAGCAGTTATGGAGGCACCTGCTAGTGGCTACTGGCCTGCCTGCCTGAGGCCAGGGACAGCTGTGACCTGCAGGTGAGGCCCCTCTGGTTACCCAAACCCCTTCATACCCTTCAGATAGCTGACCCTGGGCTCTTTTTGTGACCTACCGAGGAATTTGTAGCAGCTATGCTGACAGGTGTCCCAGCACCTGTTGGGCTGAGGACTTGGCTGTCACACGTCACCTGACATCAGACACGATGAGCTGTCCTGGTCCTAAAGTTTCCGCTATAATGTGGATTCCCACCTCCCTGGAGGGGCTTCTTGCATGCCAGCCCTACTCCCAGCCCCTCTAGAGGCTCCCCTGGGGTTTGTGAATGCCCTGGCAGCAGCACAGCATCCATTCATTATGGAATTATATTATCCATTATATTATCATTATATTATATAAAGATTTTATTATCCATCCCTAGACAAGCATTTCTAGGGAGCTCTGTGTGCAAACCCTGCAGTAGTTGCTGTGGGGATGACACGGACCCTGCTGTCCAGGAGACGGGCAAAAACGCGAACAGGAACTTCGAGCACACAGGAATGCGGACATGCTGAAGGAATTCAGACAAGGGAAGACATACCATCAGAGCTCTCACAACTCCACTTTGGAGGAGTGCCTTGATGAACTTGTTCTACTATCCACCACCCCCTGTCAGTCACAGCTACCAAGAAGATGAAATATGGGTGCCCCAACATCTCTGGAGGGCCCTGCAGAACACTCACGTTCATGACCTGGCAGGTGGGCTCTCTCTCCCTCCCCGCACCTTCTCAACTGTGCCATCTATCAGGCTGCCCGGGGCGGGGGCGTGGTCTTGGTTCTTAGCTACCCTAGGATTCTAGGCTTTTCCTGCTGCTTCTCACTATCCCATAAAAACTTACCTTTCCTGGATGTCTTCGTATTAAGGCTTTACTGTTTCCTTTGTTGGTAGTTTTATTGGTAACAGAATAGTTGATATAATAAATGTGTTACTATAAGAATTTTAGAGCTAAAAGTGCCATTTAGTTCTAGAATTACTAATCAAATTTCTGAGTGGGTAGGCTTCTGAAGGCCCAGGAATTAACCGAAACTTAACACAATGCTATGTGTGCATTTCTTCAGGGGGAAAGGCCCAAAGCTTTCATCAGGTTCTTAAAGTTTCCTTGACCAAAAATAATAGTAATAATAAATCAATTATAAATCAATAAATGTTAAGAAGCATTGATCTATTGCATTGCATTCATTGATCTATATTGCATTCAACCAGTGTAGACAGAATGCATCAGGCTTCTGCAATAGCCAGTAACAAAGCAGACATAGCTCTACCCTCATGTAGCTAAGAATCTTATAGGTTGGAAAAATAAACAAGTAAACACACACAATTAATTATAAATAGTAATGAGCGCTGTGAGGGAAACAGTGAAATGATAGAGGATAATGGGGACCTGCTTAGAAGTGTAGTGAGGTTAGTCCTGTCCACTGGGGTTTAAACTGAGACCTAAAGGGTGTTTAGGAGTCAGCCCTAAACAGATAGGAGAAAAGCATTCTAGTCAAAGAGAACAGCAAGTGTGAAGATTTTGCAGAAGGAAAGAGACTTGAGGGCTTGAGGATAGGGGTAATAGTGATGTTGGATGGGGTTGGAGAAAGAGGAGATATGCAGTGGGTACCATGTAAGCAATGGTAACCAGGCTGAGTTTTTACAAGGTGCAATGAAAGCCACATCAGGGGATTAGGCAGGGGAGTGACACGATAGCGCTCAGGTTTGAGGAATGTCCCATTCCTGCCTAGGAAGAATAGGCTGTAAGAGAGGCAAGAGCTGGTACACAACTTTCCAGATGCCTGGAGAGATGGAAGAATGTAGAATTAGGATATGTTTTAGAGGCAAAGCTGATGAGATTTGATGATGGGTTGGAGGAGGGGGAGAAAAAGGGAGGAGTCAGAATGATGGTCACTTGTTTGGGTTGAGTCACCTGCTGGATGGTGATGTTTCCCAAGATGGGGAAGCCTGGGTCAGGTTGTACTGAGGGGTCAATCAAGTCCAGTTTTCAACATATTAAGACTGAGATGAGGTTGAGGTATAAAGCAGTCACCTGGGCAGTAGGAGAGCAAGCTTACCAAGGAAATGTAGTCCGATTGCCACAAGTGTTGGGTTCCCATTTGAGGTTTAAAAATCATGAACTAAATATCAAGTTGTGTCTAGCCATATTCAACTGCTTAGGTGCAGTGAGCAAAAAGTCAGGTGATGGGAATTCCCTGGCAGTTCAGTAGTTAGGGCTCCACTCTTTCACTGTTGAGGGCACAGGTTCGACCCCTGGTCAGGAAACTAGGATCCTGCAAGCCATGTGGTGCGGCCAAAAAGATAAATAAATAAATAAAGCTGTTATAAACATTCATGTACAGGTTGTGTGAACATAAGTGTAAAAACAGAAAGGCAGGTGATGACTTAATCATAAGTTAGGGTGTTGTCAGCTACTTGTAAAGAATGCAGAGAAGGGCTAGAGAATTGAAGTTATTTGTTTGCAGGAAGCAGCTATAGTGATGCAGTAGAGACTACAGTGGTTCATCAAAATCCATTTTCCTCTTCTTCTTGGGAACATAGTCGGACTATATTTCCCAGATTCCTCTGCAGTTATATGTTACCATATGACTAATTCCTGCCAATGGAATGAGAAGAGAAGATCTGAGGGCCACTTCTTAGCCTACCCATTAAAACTTTCCTCCTGTGCGTTTCCATGTTCTTGTCCCCATTCAGCTGACTGTTTTGGTGACCCCTAGGCGAACCTTAGCTATTGTTGCAGATGGCAGAATCATAGTCAACTCATGTGTCTGAGACCTGTAGAAAGCAGGACATCCCCCAGCCACACACATAGACACCTTACCCTGCTACCTGGATTGTTACCTGAGCAAGAAAATTTCTCTTATGTTGAGCCAGTACACATTTGGGTATATTTGTTACTAAAACTGTGCCTGCTCTAACGAGTACAATAACAGGTCATATTAGAGCAAGAAGAAAGGATGGGGACTAATGGATCAGAGGACCACATGGGGGCCCATTTCCAACTGAAACCTCAATGAACTGAGTGGATTGCCTGGAAGAGCTAGGGCAGTGGTTCTCAACCAGGGCTGCACATTCAAATCACCTAAAGATTTCTAAAATCTTCAATATCCAGACTGCACCCCAGGCCAATTAAGTCAGAAGATCCGTGAGGAAAAGTGGGGCCCAGACATTTTTTAAAGCTTCCCAGTTGATTCCATTGTGCAGCCAGAATTGAGAGCCACAAAATAAGGATGAAAATCTAGATAATCTGATTCATGGATCTCTGTCCTATAAGGTTTTACATGCATTTTATGACCAGTAGGTCACCTGGAGGAGCCTCACAGCTGGGAGAGGGTCACTGCATCCCCACCTTAGAAAACACCAACCAGAGTGTAATGCAAATCTTTGGGGGATGCCAACTGGTTACAGAGAATGTCCATGAACCAGTGCCCCCCTTCCCCACCCCAATATAGGTGAATCTCAGGGAGAAGGAGGGGGATTCCTGAACTGGATGCAATTCAAAATGAGAAATAACTCATTTTGCTGCCAGTTGGCTAAGATTTACATTATCTGCTATCAGAAGGAATTAAACAAATGATATATTTAGACACTGGATTACATAGCTTGGGAAATGTGGGCCTGCTTGAGTGCATTTTAATCATGAGCATTTTATTTTAAATCAGCCTCTGTTGTCAACTCTAGGGCTTAGGGTAGTGGTGGCGATTTCAGGTCCTGGTCTATCTGAGGGAGATGTGGCAACTGGTCCTCAAACCAGACTGGCCTAGTTCATGGGCCTGATCCTTACTAGGGAGCTGCCTGAGTCCCTAACCCTGGTTAGCTAGCTTGCAGACATAATGTAGTGTAAATTTGTCACTTTAGCTGGCATGTGACTCAAGGG